GTCCAGCTACCTGACGGATAATACCAAAAAACTCCTATCAAAATAAAGTCAATAACTATTAGAATGCTCTTTCTTAAAATGTTAGTAAGTATAGTTATTTGTAAGTTTACTTCCAGGCGATCTTGGTTTAATTTTGCCGTCAAAACATACATAAAATTACAAGTATTTAATAAATAATCCACAATATCTATGGTTGACTTAATAGTTATTTTGAGACCATCAGCTGTGGCTTGTGTCAAAAAATCATCCTTTTTTATAAAATTATTATTTAAATTTGATTCCCAAGTATTGATCCATGCCAAAGCTTCTTTTAACACCTATTTGACATATAAATAATATAAGTACACATGCCTAGGTTAATTCATAAAATATTTAAAACATATAATCTAAAATCTAACATGGTGTAGGATTTTTAACCATATTATGATGAAACCCTTAATTACACCTATTCACATACAATAAATATTAAACACATATATCACAAACACATAACACAAACACATGAGTACATAACACAAAAAACCTCTATGTCGTGGGAGTTTTTTTTTATTCCTTCTGCACTAAATTTCCTGTTTAATGCATCAAACAGATTATTCATAAAAATTGTAAACTTGACAGTTTCATCAGAATCACTAAACCCATTAAAATTTTTTTTTTTATAAAATTCTATGCCTGTGGCCATTGACATGCTAAACAGCTAAATATTTTATGGAATAATTAGAAAATAATAATTAATATTATCTTTCACATGTTTTACAAATTTATAAATTGGTTATTTTACCTGTGCTGCATATTTAACCTTCATTTTAGAAAGATTATTATATCTATATTATATCTTTGGTATCCACAGTATATTCAGAGTTTGGGCATTCTTGTATATTATTTATTTTTTCATTCTTAAATAAAATATTGTATAAATTAGTTAGGTTTAGGTACTAGGTACAAAAATGCTTAGAGTTTATGTTGTTATATTATTATTTAACTTATCATAACGTTATTTAGTTATAAATTCTTACCAAAATATTCGACTCATTATTGTTAACAATATATAAATTCACTGGAATAGCTCCATCTCTAAGTCTAGGTCTTTTTAGACACACCTACAAATATATTATATTGCTGTTATATTTTTACCTATAGTTGTATCAGTTCATAAATATACTATACATATATTTATAAGTAATGGTACTAACCGTGTATTTATTTATTCCATTTCCAGATTCCCATGTGTCTATTACATCATGTGTCTTAAAATGGTTACGACAAACACGAGAATTATTACTTAAAGGAATACCCAAGACATTTTCCCATTCAGACCGTAAGACAATATTCAATGGAACTTTGAAGGAACTAATCTTTGCATATTTGTCATGTGAAGGACAATTAGGTATACAACACGACATTACAACACGACAAACAATTAAATAATTTCAACAAAATTAAGCATAATATATTAAAACTTTATGAATAATAACATTTTTGTTATATCTTGTCAAGATGTAAATTTGTATTTATCATGGACGATAAATCTATTTACTAAGATAATAGATAGTTATTATAATTGTATAGTGGAATATTTATCATTATTTAAATCGTGGTTTTTATAGGGATCTATGAGAATTGAGAATAATATCACATAATAGATTTATTCTGTATTACTGTGGTAATAGGTACATATTTGATATTAGTAAAGCGCGGGAAAAAATAATAAGCTCGTAAATTCTGCTTCTATATTGGCACACATCATGTCGCAAGCGCTAGTGGTCAATTTTCCAGCTGTTCTGGTTATTTAATTTGGTTTCCAGTTTAAAACGATCTTATCATAGGTCGTCGGGCAACCATACTATCTTAAATCGTGGTTATAATGTTAATTTTGTATAATATAATCATAGACATAATAAGATATGGACTGCTACTCCCCCACACCCTGCCTTAAGTTTATTGAAATAAGATTGTTAGAAAGAGATAGTCAATACATGTGTAATGTAATGTGAGTATCGAGTATGTGACCCGACTACCTAAGGTGTATGCTATCTTTTTCTAAAAATGTTGTTATCTTTGTTGTTGAACTATTCTCCCTCTCTCTTTTATTAATTGGTGTAAATGGTACCCAAGTTGTATGCTATCTTTTTCTAACAATGTTGGCCCCTGGATCTCTCTCTCTGTTATCAGGGGCGTAGCGTGCATGTAAGCACTGTAAGCACTGCTTACACTTTAAAAGAAAGAAAAAATAAATTTGATCAATCACGACTAATAGGTACATAATAAATGATTTTTAAAATTTTAATTTTATTTATAAAATATTTAAGTTATAGCTGGTAGTGGTTTTTGTTATTGTTTATTTGTGTCGTACGCTGTCTACTGATTACCAACTATTTTAAGAAAATCATCGATTGTAGGTCTATTTTTAATCCATTCTGTATTATGTTAACTGCATAATCATAATACGATATACAGTGTAACACATTCTGGAATTGCTTACGGGCAGCTGTTGTTTTCGAATAGTCTATAATGCCATAGTGGGGGTCACGTATTTAACTAGCGTTTGTAAGCACATTTGATTTTGCTTACTCAAGAAACAATAGGAGCGACCCGTACGGCCGTACGTAGCCCGGCGCGTTGTAGACTGTAGTCGTTTTTACGTACACTGTCACTGTCATTCGCCTAATAGACTTTTGAAGTATTTATACTTAAATTTCTTTATTTTCTCTTTATTACATTTTTTTATACATAATTTATAATTAGGTATTTAGGTATAGTACCTATATTCTAATCACTTTTGAAAAAAAAATTTCACTGCTTACATCTTTTTAATACCCACGCCACGCCACTGTCTGTTATCAGTCTATTTCTTTATAGGTCTATGAATATAATACTGTTGTAGCTGGAATCTTATTCAATAAATAATGTATATTGATGTTTGCATAATAGATAATGTAAAATTGTATTATTTTTCTTTAGAATAGTGTAAGATGACAGCCAAACTCTATGTAAATTGAGCAATTAATGTCAATGTCAACAACGATATTCCAGACAACATGCAATGGATGATTGGACACTGTCTGCTCTTTTTTTTAAAATTATAATGTAATACATAAAAAAATAATTAAGTAATAATAATAATAATCAGTCTTTAGATTTCATCAGTTAAAATGTATAAATTATTATTATTATAATTTGTAGAAAAAAAAGTTATTTTGAGGAATTATTTTTTTTATGGTGTATCTTTATTTTAATTAACTCTTTACTTGGTGCAGATTGTTTTTGTTATTAGAATAAATTAAATATTTTATATCAGTAAAATGTTTTAAGTAAAGCGCATAATAAAATATTATTTTATATAAGATTTATATTTCGTACTTTCTTGACCTTTTATATCCTTTCTAGGTAATGAAAGAATAAAAAAAATATATACAAATTATGAATAAAAATTAGACATTTTTTATTATTTCTCATACAACATATTATCACTGTTTACCTACATAAAAAAATATGAATGGTAGTATTAATACAAAATATATACAATTTTGTAGAAATTAATCTTGTAAAATAATATTAGATTATTTTCAATTCTTATAACATCATGGTAATCTTAAACATATTATTACATACAATGTGAAATTGTATTTGTATATATTATAATAATATGATGTTAAAAATTTAAATATTTTTAAATTCAGCGGCCTGCGATAATGTTAATTGTTGTTTATTCCAAGCCAAACTGATATGATATTTTCATCCATGAAAGTGATATAAACCGTTTTTTTTCTAGTGATATAAAAACGTTTTTATTTACTGTCTGGTTATGGCGGATGTGCGTATCACAAAGTTGCTAACATACCTCTTTTCTTTATCTTGACCGTGTCTTGACTACAACCAAAACAACAAACAAAATACATTACAACCACGAATTCACTGTCTTAGAAGATATCTTCAAGACCATGCACGAATTATTAAAGTATATTTTATATGTAATTCGTGATTACAACTACCCCGGACCATGGTTAAAGTGGTATAGGTAGTTTTATCTTATTTATACCGCGGTTACAAACTGTATATGAAGGCCACCCGCATGATGATCATTCACTCGTCGTTTACTCATTTTTCAATCATATTAATTAATAATTATACAATACTGAATAATACTGAATAATATTACAGTCGACAAAACCAGTATACTGTTTATTACAGGTCACATAACATAGACCTATAAGGAAAGTAAATGTTAGCAAGTATTAATAAATAGGCATAAAAGACAAAACTACAAGAGTATAGAACACTGAACAGAGAACAATAACCATGACCTTAAAAGGTTTATTAGTTATGACAATAACAACGACACAGTCACTCAGTGAGTCGTCAAAGAATTCAAAGGCTACTAAACGTCGAAACTACAAAAGTACGAAATATTTAAAGGCGGTTAAAAGGTTTATGACTTATGTTATATGCGTCCATCTCAATTCACCCTCGAATTTATACTATATAAATTATAGTTTTTATGAATGTAAGTCATTTTTATATTATATGTTTTATTTTTGAAATAATAAATTATTATGCATTAGTAGGACGCTATAATAATAGTATATAAGACTATAGTTAAATTATATTATGTAGTACAAATAAATATTAAATACGTGACGGCCGTTTCCCGGGTAATTGTGCGAGTTGTGGCCCCCCTGGATGATCAGCTGTTTGTTGTTTTCTTTTCAGATTTATTTACGTGCGTGCAGAAAGAGTGTTTTTATTTGGAAAGTAGATAATAATATAATATTACTACGTCTGTTATCTTATACGCGCTCGTCTGTCGTTTGGATTTTCGATAATTTGATCTGTTCTGGAGCGAAAAAATTTTATAATAATACTCCCCAGTATTATTGTTGTTACGGAAGACCAACCGACGTCTGCCACTGCCAACCGGATTACTGTGTGTCTCCTCGAGCACCAATCGTCACTGGGGTTTTTCAAATAACCACCCGCTGGTACGGTTACGATGATTCCAGATGATTCCAGATGATGAGTCCATGATGGCATTTCCAGTGAGTATTCCTTTCCAACCTCTGCACCTCGTCAAATTTCATCCTCCCTGCACGCTGTCGGTTAATTGGCTCAATCCCGGGTGGCTGATTGTTTGCCCTCGTCAATGGTGTATGCGTTGTCTGTCTTCGCTTTAACCGTGTGCACTATACCGATGGCCCGTTACTTCACAGTCAGTCGTAGTTAACAGAGAAATCGACTGATTGCAAGTTGAATTGGTGCTAGTAATAAACTCGTGGATAGCATACTTTTTCCTTAATATATTTTTATTTTATTTTTACAGTATGTTAAAGTGATTTTCGAAATTGGTCATGAGGCGTCTGTTAGGAACAAACGAACACCAGAAGGGTTTACTCATGACTGGGAATTGTTTGTTCGTGGTGCTGATAACACTGACATACATTTCTTTATCGACAAAGTTGTGTTCCATTTACATGACACATTTCCAAATCCAAAAAGAGGTAAGTCTTCTCAAATTAATATCTTAGTCTTAAATAGATTATTGCATGATTTTATATTGTTTCTCTCATTAAATTGTAATGTTGAAAAAATTAAAATTAAAATATTTTTACACAAGCTTGAATTAGAAAAAGGTTTTAAAAAATTTTTCATGTGAACCAATATGTATAAAACAAATAAGTATCTATTCATGTGTTTACTAAAATTAGTTTTTCCAAGAATATATACTAATGTTATAATTTCACAAGTATCTACATTTTACATTAGAGACTAAATCAATTAGTATTATAAATAACTTAAGTATTAAAAATTAGGTTACAGTATTAAAAAATATAAAAACAAAGCAAAATATCTATTATTCTACTGATTTATGATTAAAATATCAAATAAATAGGTACTAATCATAGTTATTGTTCAAATAAGCAGCAGTTCACTTTTATATAATTCTAATATATTGAAAACACTTCTACTTAAACTATTAAAAATATAAATAAACTATTAAAATATAATCAAACCCAATTTGAATATTTAAGAAATTGTTAATTTTCAATGTTTAAATTGGTTTAGTAAAACATTAAAATAAGAAAAATAAATATAAATAACTAACACTGCCGAAATTGTTATAATACAGTAAACTGTAGTTATGTCAAAAACGCAAGTGACAGAAAAATGTTTAGGATATCAATTCATAATGTACCTAAAGTTAATATTACTTTAAAAAGACTTCCATTGAGTTTGAGATAAAGAAAAATTTGACATAATAAGAATCTACTTTATAATCAAATAAACCATACAATTAATCAATTTTTTTCAAAAGAAGATACCTTTAAAACTGGGTTTTTTAATAAAATGTTTTATATAATTTGTATTCATTTTTTTTATAGTCATGTTTTAAAGTATCATGCATAATTTACCTTACCTGCAATTAATAAATTAATTTATGTGTTCTTGAAATTGTATAATATATTAGTGCTGTTGTTGATGTATAATATCCCAAATTATTTTATAAATAGAAATATATAATTTTGATATAATATATAGTTTATTTTATGGTAGTATTATTATTATGAGTTTATTTTAGTTTTAATTGAATCTCAAGTAACTAATTATTGTTTAAAAATTGTTTTCAGTTGTTAAAGAACCACCATATGTCGTGAAAGAATCAGGATATGCTGGTTTTCCGTTACCTATTGATATCTATGTAAAAAATAAAGATGAACCAAGAAAAATTAGGTTTAATTATGAATTGGTACTTCAAGAACGTGGTTTACCACCTATGTCTAGAGTCACTAGAGAAACTTATGTATTTAGCCCTTCAGAAGATTTCAGGCGAAAGCTTATCAAAGGTGGAGGAGTAAGTAAACTTTTTTACACCTGCCTATAATTTATTTACCTGTATACTATGGTATGTTAGCCATAAATATTTAATTATCTATATTTCAATCGGCAATAATAATACTAAAATTATTATAGTTCCGTAGATTTATATCCATATTTGTATTTGTTTATCCAATGTGCTTTACATCTACAAAGTATAGTAAGAGGGTTGGAAATCCAAAACTTACTTTTGCCAAAATACTGATTTTTCAGGAGAAGCTATTTTCTGTATCTTAACATTATCAATAAAAACACAAACCATTTATAACCAGACAAATCATTTTGAAGTTATTTAAGTAAATTATTTAATAATATAATATATTATTTATATTTAAAATGATTCAAATGTGTTAAATATTCTGGTTTTATTTTAAATTAAATTTAAAACTTAATTAAAATTTTTTAAATTAAATTTTAGTATGTTTTGGAAATAGTTTGATTTGATATAGTTAATGTTTTGTTCCTATTTTTTTAACATGGGAAATAGTACTGTTTAGCGTAAAACCGGAAAAAGTACGTTTTGATTTTTTAAATATCATTTTTATGTATGGGAAAGGTTTGCTTTTGATTAACCAGTCATTTTGAATCACAAATTTGACCAGGAAATAGTACAATTTGATTTATTCTGACAACGCCAATCAATGTATCAATATTTTTTCCCTAGGAATTGATACCTTACTCGATTTTGTCAATTTTGGTAATAGTACGTTTTGGATTTCCACCCCTCGGTTATCTTTGTACCTTAATCTATTTTAATGTTAACATATAATTTTAGTGGGTAATACTAAAAGAATTTTACATAGCTTTTAATTTGTGTTTAAATTAATATTCAACTTGTAAAATGTAGTTGTTAAATTAATGAGCTTGCACTGTGTTAAACCATTTAAATTATTAAATCCGAGTGGAACAACAACCTTTAGCTTACCACATTGAGGAGTAAATTAAGAATACACTGGTATTACTTAAAGAGCAGTTAAGCATAGACAATTTAAAAAAAAAAAACCATTTCTGAGCAATGACGTATAATTATTTCTCACTTTTACCACCGTAATTTAGCGATAACGAATATATACGTCCTAAATAAGTGTATATAATAAGTACATTTGTTTATAAGGTAAATCTGGGTTAAACCCTATAAAATAATTTAAAAGTACATTATATGTGTTATTGCTCTTTTCAGCACAACTTCTGAAAACGTATAGTATATATGTTAATGCTCATAAAATAGTTGAATATTATTAACATATAAATATTTTTGGACTGGATACAACAATTTTTTTTACCTTTATCTTTTACCTTTACCTTTACCAATGGCAACCAAACAATAATGAATATAATTGTTATTCAGTAATATTGATTAATCGTTATTCAATTTTATTATATCGATTATTTTCTTATTTCGCATAGCCAAAAACAGTGACCACCAAAAACATAATGTAGTATGTGATTCAATGTTTTTCTTCGTAGCAGAGAAAGTGTCTTTGTATCTTATTTTACAAAAAAAAACTAATTTCTTTTTTTACCTAACTAACAAATATGTTATACATTAATGTTTTAGACTAGTGTCTTATCTCATGATGGAACTGAAGCAAAAAACTCCACTTCAAGTTCTGCCATATCAAAACAAAAATCAACTACAAATACTAATCGATTGCCATCACCGCCACCAAAAAAAAATAAAAAAGAAGATATAAAACTAAATAATACATTTGCCACACTTTTTGGGTCTCCAATACAGCCTTCAAAGTTACCACTGACTACATCAAAATCAACATCACAAAAGTTGTCTTCCTCAGAAAAATCGCAAGTTAAAATTAAAAGTAGCCCACACCATAAAGATGATAAGAAAGATAAAGATAAAGAAAGAGATAAAGAGAAGAAGAAATTGAAAGAATTATCTATAGACAAGGTAAAAAAAGATAAAGATAAGAAAGAGAAAACTAAAGAAAGTTCTGAAAAATCAAAGCCTCTCAAACAAAGTAGTTCTAAACCGGAAAAAAAAGAATCTACTCACCATGAAAAAATTAAAGAAAAGTCAAATGACACTAAATTAGAAAAGAAAGAATTTAAAGATAAAAGCAAACGTGAAGATAAAATAAAAGAGAAGAATAAAGATAAGTCCCATAAAGATGAAAAATCATATCATGAAACCAAAACTATTAAACAAGAAATAAAAACTGAATGCAATGATCAAGAAAAAAAGAAACATAAAAGTTCACCGGAATCGATTAAAATAAAGTCTGATAAAAAAATAGAAAAATCTGAAAAATCATCTAAACCTCATAAAAGTCACAAGGAGCACAAGAAAAGAGACAAGAGAGATAAAGAAGAAAAATTAATTAAAAAGGAAGAAAAATCTAGTTTTGTCGAACAGGAACCTTCTTATAAACACCTTGATATACCTCAAACAGTTACATTAGTAGAAGAGTTTCCAAAAGTTAAGGAAGAAATACTAGAGTGTTTGCCGCCGCCAAAAGCTAATTCTTCAAGAGTTCATGAACCTGAGCTTGAGTCTGAAGAAGAATTCCTCTCTGAGGATAGTGAACCCCCTTATCAACCACCAGAACCACCAAAGCCTAAAGAACCAGAACCTCCCAAAAAGAAGCTTTCCCCAGAGAATAATTTTATAAAAAAGAAAAAACGAAAAAAGAAGGAACGTGACACGGAAGAAACAAAACCAAAAACTAGCCGACTGGAGATTGCGGAACATGTACGAGAAACATGTTCAGACATTTCTAGATCACCATCACCTTCACACAGTAACAACAAATTCACTGATGAATATATAAACTCATTAAAACATCTTCAACACAAAATAATGATGTTAGAAGATGAAGACCTTCAAAGGGTAGTCACTGTAATAGCCGAAACTGGACATTATGAAATAACTACAAAAACTTTTGATTTCGACCTCTGTGCTTTGAATGAAACTACTGTGAAAAAACTACAAGAACTTATTACTTAGTTTATTTAATCTATAATATATTCATACACATACGTTTATATATTTATATTTACATATAATGTAAACTTTTATTTATTTGTTTAAAACTGATTACATGAGTAGTAGCAGACTTCCAAAAATAAATATAAATTACCTTTTGATGGTATGATTAAATTAAATTGTGGATATATCTTTAATATGACTGTATTGATAAGGTATAATATATGATAATACTATTGTAAATAACAATGATTATAAAGTAATTTGCGACAAAAAAATATATTGTCCAATATTTCCCTGTTATGGACTTATTTTTGAATCGTGTGAATTTTAATATGAATTGTTTTTTTTAGTAGTTCAATATTATCTTAAATTAGATGAAATTTTATTGTACAGAAATTATTTTAAAAGCCTTATTTTTAACTACACATATATTTTTTTTTGTTTGGAAGGGGGGTTCAAAACTGCCAAAGAACTCCGAATGGTTGTTTAGAATTATTGTATTTATCATAATTCTTTAAATTTTGTATTCAAGTATTTTACATTGATGACTAATCATTTGTAAGTAATTAATTTACTTTATAAGTTATTGATTTTATTTATTTTTTTTTGCCTAATTTTAGAAACAAGTATTGTTTGATGTTTTTGTTGCCTTTAAATTATAAATTATTTTAAAAATCATAATATTGCATTATGAATTCATTGTTTTTTTTTTTAAATTTTCATAATTTTACTTCTATATTGCTGTAATGAAATATTGTATAGTTAATTTGTATAGTTTCATAAACAAACCGAATCATTAGTGGTATAATTAATTAATTAGAAGCAACTTGGTAAAATATTTTATCCCTAGGAATTGTTGCAAATCTTGTAACAACGTATTTGGTGCATCATGGTGGGAGAGAAAGCAGACAAAAAAATTTGCCGCGACCGGATTTATTGACTTTAAATACGTTAAATATTAAAACTAATTTGTTCTATTTTTATGAAATGTTATGTATATTTCGTGTATGTATAAGATCTACACTAAACGAATACCTAATTATAGATTTTTTTTTACCAATATTTGGTAGTTGGTTAAAAAAATAAAACAATTAATTTTTTAAAAATTGTTTTCAAATTATTCCTTATTGTTCCAACAGGAGTCTTGACTCTTAAACGAAACGTAAAGAATGAAATTACGAAAGAACATAATAAATTATTAATGTTTAACTATTTATAAAAATAATCGTAATAATAGGTATGATCGTCAGTAGAGTATTAGACAGCAGAACATCATAGTAGTTAGATTGAAAAAACTGTAAAATAATTAAAACACAATCGTTAAGTTCTACTCGTAACACGTTACAGTATACTACTATATTATTCGAAAAATGTTCAATTTCGACAATATATACAAATAAAAAATAATTAATAAATGGAAAAAATATTGAGTCACTAAAACATACATTAAGTAGAATCTGATGTATGTGTAGTGAGTAATAACAAATAGGTATGAATGTATGATAATATGAATAAATAACTTGGTATATAATTTTAAATATTATGCTTAAGTAGTTAAGTATAACCTATTACTTGTAATGCCCACCTATAAGTACCTACTATCATTTCAAATGTAAAAACACGAAAATGTAATAACTAAATAACCAAGGTAATGTATTTGTATTATATTTTTTTTTATACCTAAATATGTTGAACACTTGACATAATAACACCTATTAGCAACATTCCCTGTTTTTCTTTATAAAAATAATCCGTTTTTTGTATATGTTTTTCAAAACATTGTCATTTTTCTGGAACACCAATGAGGGTTTCTTACGACTTTCTGCAAATCTAATGTAAAATTAGTTTTTTTATTGATATTATAGGTACGGAGTTTGATTAAATTCTCACGGATTAATGAAAAATAGTAAAACGTACGTAGACCGAGTACCCAGTGAGTAAATAAATTGTAAATTTGCTATTAAGTATTAGTAGATTAGTTACCGTTCGTCCGTTCAATAGGAAGAAAGCAATACAAAATATGGTATTACGTAGTTGGTACGTTATAGTTTATTATTATTATTTGTCTGTGGCTATTCAAGTCATAATATGTTTGGAAACATATTTTAATGTTTCTAAACCATTTAATCAAAAGTTTTTGAATGTTAAGAGGCCATTATGGTAACTAAATTCGGCAGTAAAAACGTGTTTTCGTACTTCAAGTTTTCCTCAGCCCTCATTAGTCGTAGAAACATGATTCTTTCACCAAAATAAACGTGAGAAGTTCTTCTAGATTTTGTCTTTTTACATTTTTTTTTTCAAACCAATTATATTTGCATTTGAAATGTTCAAAATGTTTAAAAAATCATATAAAATAGACAATAAAAGATAATGGTACCTACATACTTTTACGAAATGTCTAAAAACGTTTTTAAAAACTGCAGGGGAAGTCGCTCACTTCCCACAATCAAGCCAGTGGCGGATACGAGCCCCCCCCCTTGAGCTGTCTTTTTAACGTTTTAAGCCCGGATTCTGGATCAACTGAGCCCTGGGATACCATACACTTAGTGGGCCCCCTTTAAAGTTTAACTTCAAAATAATTGTATCATTATACATTTATACATATTAATGTACTTATATTATTGTATAATTTTTTACTTTACAAAAAATATGCAGGGTTTATCTTATGTCATTGTACTCGGGTTTTTTTTCAACAATTATGGATCGACGATATGGAATTCCGTTAAAACAAACAAAAAGACGTGTTTCTTATAATGTATTTTCCTGCAGGCTCTCGAAATTTCTCTTAAATTTTTTTTTTAAACATTGACAACCAGGTGCCATCCAAATTTATTTGCCTTCTAAAATGCATCTGCCTGCGGGTTCCCACGTTCTCCTACTAATTTTTTTTTATGATTTTAACTCAAGCTGCATTTTTTAAGCATTGACTACCTGATGCCCTCATAATAATCATTCCTTAACAAGCTTTAATAAACTTATTATTGTGAATAGTTTTTTCTGTTAAAAATTCTAGATATTTTAGTTTGAACTCTTTAGTGTGTTCCTACTGTAAAATTTTTTCTAATTTTTTTTTTTTGTTTCCTAAAATGCAATTGCCTGTGGGCACCCACACCTCCCTTTCAAATTTTTTTTGTATGAATTTATAAAATATTTCGACTCGTTTTCAGTGAATTATGAAATGTTTTTAGTTCTGTATTCTATAAATTTCAATAAAATGTTATTCGTTGGGTCAAAAAGCTTAAAAATAATAAAAAGTTCCTGGTAAGTTGATATAATAAAGCAGTTAAAAAATATTAGAAATATATATAGGCAAGTTTTTTTTTATAGGCATTAAAAGTTCAAAATTCTACAAAATTCATCATAATCTTGACAATTTGCAAAATATTTTGTAGTCAGATAATAATTCATACAAAAATGTTTTTTTTTATTTAGGTATAATATGAAAATGTAATAAAAGTTTCCTCATAAATAGTTTTAATAAAAGTTGAGATTTTGAGAAACAATAGAGGTCCATCGGCACGATTTTTTTTATGAGTAAATCAATTTTAATTTTTAACAAAATTTATCAAATTGATAATTTACAAATTACTATTTAGTAGTTAAATATTTATAAAATGTTCAACTTTTATTGCTAGGTAACGATTGAAAATATAAAACAAGAATTCTCATAAATAGTTGATAGTATAACCAAAAAATCTAGATAGCTAATCTATAAAAAACACAATTCATTTTTGCAGACATTATAAGTTCAAAGTTGGACGAAATTACTTATTCAAACAAAGAATAACGATTTTATGTTTTGGTTATAATTTAAATATAGTAGGTATTCTTGGATTTATGAAACTTTAGTGTACCTACCTATATTTAGTGTTGAGCTTAACTTGATAAATTTATCTAGATAAATTATCTAGATATATATTCTTTTATCTTTTATCTTATCTACATAAATAGAAAATATTAATTTACACAGTTATCTAAGATAAAAATTACCGTTATCTAGATTTATAATATAGATTTAAATTTATTAAACGACTTTTATTTATTATAGAATATAGGTAGACAATTAAGTAATTTATTAAGTAGGTATAGTATTTACTAATAACTATCGACATTTTCGATAACATACTATTAAGTTATTCTATTTTTTTACGAACTTACGGAGAGTGCCATAAAAAAATAAAAAAAAATGTATCCCATAATTTATCTAGATAAAATAATTTTTTTAACTCTTTGAGGGGCGAAAATTTCCTTTGGAAAAAAAGCCCATGTGGGCAATATGTCTCTTTACCATAACATTTAGTTCGTATATCAAAATATTGATAATGATAATAAATGATGAAAAACGCGGGAAATAATATCAGACCAGCGGCAGTGATATTGTTTGATGCATGTATTAGATGATAATAAGGTGGTTGGTATGCTGACCATTATTAAAAAAATATTAAAAATAATTTTAAAAGTGGTTAAAATAGTAATCACCGCACCTGAACGGTAAAAAAAAAAGTGGTTAGCATACTAACCACGGCCCCTCAAAGAGTTAAATAATTTAGTTATCTTTATCTTTATCTAGATAAAATTATATTTATCTAAGCTCAACACTGGCTATATTATTAAAATTTAAATACATGTATCGTGCACGATGACACTTTCAAATGTAATTTTTTGGGCAAAAATGACTTTAACCTACTATTGTACTGATGCCTAATAATCTGTAGTCAGTGTGGTTAAAATCATAATAAGTTATTCCACTCAAATTTAAAATATTTTCCGTTTTAAAAACAAATGCACTTGACCACGCCACCCCTCACTAACATCAAAAATGTTTTGTTTAAAAGACTTGTTTTTCAACGCTGATTTCGAAACTGTTTGAATTTTTTTGCTGAAACTATTATTTTGGAAGTTATAGCCATCTAAAGTTTACGATTTTAAGTTTATACGCATGCGCCCAACGCTACTTGGACAAGCCTAGGAATTAAACAATGTTGTTAAAAAGCCATATCTGTAACATAAGTTTATTA